GCCTCCGCGGGTGCTGCAGCCAGCAGCTCCCGCTCCCACTTCAGTGGGTCTGGGCCCGTTCCTCGTGCCGCCACCCCATCCCTAAATGTGTTTTCATTAAACAGGCACAAAGCTCAAATCGCGGCCTCCGAGACTTAAGAAATCTGTCATGTGCCCAAGCAGCCTCCAGGGAAGAACCGCAGGGGAACGCTGTTGCCAGAGAAAGTCTCCCGAGGCAGTTCCTCAGCTCCACCACGTTGCCACGTGCCTCCCCAGACCCAAGCAGTTAGCTTTCAGTGCAGGAGCGGAGAAGCAGCTAATCATGAATCAGAGGCCAACAACCAAAAAAGCCAAACGAACGTGCTAGTACAAAGGACAAGGCAAAAGCACGGTCAGAGACCAGGCTGAAGGTCGGGGAGGCCAAACAAAGAAGCAGAACCTAAGATACATAAGTTAACCTTGGCAAAGCCCAGATCAGCAAGCACAGCCTCCGCAACAGCAAGCAGGCTCCCGAGTTACAATCACATAAAGCAAGGACAGGGCAAAGAAAGAGCCCAAACTCAAGAACAAGAGGACAAGAGGCCGGTCTTAGCTGCTTGGGAGACTGATAGGGGCCAGGTGGCTGACTGCAGATATCCACAGAGCCTTGACCTTGAATCAGCATTTTGCAAAAATGTTGAGAAAGAGTACAGGGCATTTGTGAGGGTGAGATAGGCCCCTGAAAGGAGTGCCTGATGCAACAGAAAGCTCACCTTTTTGCTGGGATACTTTTAACCTAATCTAGTTTGCTGATGTAATTCACAGATGCTTATGTTGCTCTAAGGCTGTGGAAGAGGGTCTGCAAACTGCAGTGCCACTTTATATTGACTTAAGTTATGTAGGACTCTTCAAGTCTCAGTGTCAAGCAGAGGGAGAAAAATACTCCAATTACAAAGAAAGTCTCTTAAATTTAGTAACTCTAAAAATAGCAGTTCTTCAAGTAACTTGAATGGATCTCTGGGGATGGCAGGTATGCACAAACTGAGGGTTTAGAAGTAATGAAGAGACAATATATATTGGAGTGTATTCAGGCAATTTATAAGCATTTTAGTAGGCTGCTTGTGATTTGGTCTTCGTGCTATAGAGCTACATTCAGCTGTCTGAGATTTGCAAAATCTCACTGATGATTATTTAGAAATCATTCGGCACAACACAGTGCTGAGACCATTTTAATGTCCATCCAAGCTAAAAATGCTGGCTTCAACTTAGATGTTAACAGCAATAAATCTTGCATAAATGCTGAAAATAGCGTAACTGCTAATTTAAGGATCACACTATTTTCATCATCATTGTAGAAGGCATTTCCGAGACTTGGCATAAAATCCCAGTTCCATTGAAATTTAGAGGGATTTCTATGAACATGGCCAGGATTTTAGCTTTGAAGTTTGTTTTACTTTAAGCGGCCTGTACCACGCATAACTGGACTTCTGAGAGTTCTGAGATCAAACCTAGCACCAGCCGTATCTATTTCAAAAAGGAAGGGAAGACAACTGCCACAATTGTCAGTCTGTCTAACAGACACGTTTCACACTTACTGCATGAAGCTTATACAAATGCCTTTTAGTCAAAGCAGGGTCATTTTCCAGTTGCATGGCCTAAAGCAATGCCAGAATGTCAGGTTTGGGTTAAAATGAAGCTGTGGTGTTGATTATCTGCATGAGATCTATCTAACTACCAATAACTAGGCCATTGTAACTTTTTACAGCTCAAAAACCAGACAATAGCTATGCAGGAGATTTAGTGTTTAACATAAAAACCATCTCTTAAAAGTAGGAAAATATTTATCAGAAAAATGGAAACATCAAAGTAGATATGGCTTGCTCCACTAATGACCTGAGACAAATGAGGAAGCTTAACCTGTGATCTGGGAAGTAAAGAGGAAAAAAGGAAACATTCAAAGAGGCCTTAAGATGATGTTACTATTTATTATAATGATAATACTCTTTTTGATGATATATATAGACCTTGACTGACAGAATTAACAATCTAAGAGTCTTTGCAGCATTAAGTATTGCTGTGTCTCTGGAAACATATACATACATTAAATACATCACTATATAGACAGAGGTGCACTCATTATATTCAAAGAAAGGGTCATGTCTTTCTTTGTGGATTCCTAACTAAAAGAGGAAGGGGGGAAAAACAATTCTTAATCTCTTTTGCATATTGTTAATATAGCCCTTCTAAAAAAGCCATATTTTAAAGCCTCCCTACTTTGATCAACTGTCACTCAAATCCTTCACAAAATGTTGACTTTCCAAGGAAAAAAAAAATCAAATAGCATTAGGGTGGTATATTCATCATGGATGTATCTTAATGTAGACGTTTTAAATATACTGTAACTAAGTGTTCTTGTTCAGAGAAAAATGAAAAATTACCTTCTGAAGCCACCAAACACAGAAGGTTGAGACGATAATAGCAGCTTTTGAATTCACTTAGACTACTTATTTCTCAATACCTGAAGAGGCAAATAACATTTTTATAATGTGTATCTCATACACTAATTCAGCATTGCTAGGTGTTTTTAAACAGTTACTGGGTAAGCCAAGATAAAATGTCACCACCCCTGCTGAGATAAATTATGAAGGGCCTAGACTGTGATATCTGCACATATTAAAACATGCAATAATGCAAAGTGAGGTTTTTTACTTGGTAGTCTCTGTGAAATACTACTAGACCCCTTAGAAAATGTACTCACATGAGTAGCAACTGCAGGGATTGGTATGAGAAACTGTACTAAGCTGGACAAAGCTGAAATGTAACTGTTTAATTATAAAATCAGTCACATTACAATAGTTAATAAACCAAAAAACAGAGATCTCTCTAGAGCTAATTGTTTGTTCCTCATTGCCCTTTGTCATGAAATTTAACAAGCGAGCACATATATTTTATGAGTCATTTCCATGACATATGTTATTTACAAAGGCCCATCATTCAATGAGTACGTTTCCTTTTACAAGTATGGGCTGCTCAATTACCAAGGCTGCAATATAGTGTCATAAAAATTTCAAGTCATACCGAGATGTTGGGTGTAACTAGATGATGTCAATCAGTCTACCTTTTTCTTGAAAACACGCAAAGAACAGTATCTTTCCCACTTCATTCAGGCCAAAACTAAGACTTTAGGATCACTAATCACTTAAGTTCGTTGTTGAGGACAATTACACGCTTTCGGGATCTTTAACCCGGCATACAGGACGGTGCTGCAAAAGAACACATAGGGCCCCAGTCCCAGGACCACTAACGTGCGTTTTCTTTTTACCGTGTGCTTTCTTCCATTCAGATGTGAGTCTTTAATTTCTTCACGTGTCCCTGTGACATGTTATTACTGCAAGTACCCCTCGGATAAACGTACCTTCAGAGAGCAGATCTAAAGCGCGCCTCCAGCGCGGGTGCTCCTTCGCGGCCTACGCTGCTGCGGACGCTGACGGCGGGCCCGTGCCCTGACGGGCGGCGACATCTCGCTCGCATGAGCGAGAGCTCCCCACGTTCATCTACGTTTTTCTACAGGATGGCGAATTTACTGTGACAACCCTGCTTATTTTTCTACACTTGTTTTTGCCCTTCGGGCTGGGAAGCAAGGTAGGAAAACAAATTACACTTCAATTTTGTTGTTATTGTGGGAGAAAGACGGTGAGAACGAGGGCTTCAACACCAAGGCGTGCGAGCTAAGCGTAGGGAATAAAGACACATAGTCCAGCTAATGCCCTAAACGGGATTCCCGGCTGAACCAGCATTAAACCAGCCTTCTCTGCCGCGCCGCGCTCCTCGCCCTCTTTACCCCGATGTCACCCTAGGGACATCGCAAGGGGCAGTCCTTCCCCGGTAAAGCTCCGGGGGGGCCT